TTTAAATAAATTTGGTCTACAAACATGTATATTTCATACAGTGTTCATTCTCCAGTTGGACCTCCAGTATAGAAAGAAATAAAGGCTGGTCCTAAGGGCAGCTGGCAGGGGATGTAGTGGATGCATATTAATGTTCATCTATGGGTGCCATCTATGGGTGACATAGCTGAATTAGTGACATTGGCATGTGCTAATTTAAAGTTATAAATTTTTATATTAGATTGTTGTCATGGAAATGTTAATACTCTTCCAGTGTGTAATGCCTTTATGTTTTGACTTTTAAAATGGGAATTTTAAGAAATCTTTCTATTTATTACATTTTTATCTTGATTTTTAAATGAATTGTAAGTATAAATTATATATTATAGGGTCACTCATTTTATAACTTTGTAGCAACAGGTTAGCTGAAGAAAAAGCTGTCAGATTTGGCAGTGGTTCAGAAAATATGTGAACCTGTCACTGTAAGCAGTCTCAAAGGGCAAAAGGCATTACAGGAGCTAATTAACCTTAGAAAATAATTACACAAATATGCAAATGTTGTTTGGATAGTTCTGTGTGTTATCAGCTCAGGTATTCCATCACAAATGCAGACCTCACAGTGCTCAGGTGGGGTAGAATCTGGCCTGGTTGATAAGGCTTCAGTTATTGCAGCACATCTTTTTGGCATTTAGCAGTTGATGGCCAGAGTACAGCAGGGAAGTCGGCCTGCGTTCTAGGCACTGCACATATCCCACTCCATGTAACCCGTGCTTTCTGCTACCTGCAAACTCCAGCTAATGGACTTACTGCTTTTCACGCCTTCAATTCACTTACATATTCTGACCACCATCTTCCACACTGTCTCCTGCTTTCAAATTACTCAGTACAAAATGTAACTTCATAGAGAAATCTATAGAATACATTCTGTTTGTTTCTATTTCTGTATTATGAAGTTTTTCCTCATTGAAATCTGTTTTGTTTCAAAATGTACTGTCAGTGACATACTCTCTAAATTATAGTTTGTAAACTTAAAATGATTATTGGCACAATATGGGCTATAGGTTAGAATAATGCTATTTTGCCTGGATGCAGCATCATCTCATTTATAAAAATGAAGTTTTAGTTTATCATGTCAGTAATGTAATATTTCATAAGTATATATTTAGAACTATAGTCTTTGTATTAATTTCCATACATAGCAGTTGTAGACACCTACAATGATTTCACAGAATTTTGTAAATGCTCCAATGATGGTGGTATAAATAAGTAAACAAATGAAAGCCTGAGCTTCTGAAAACTTTCTGAGACAGTTGTATAGAGAAGTCAAGTCTTTTAGGGCAAAGGTTTATCTCCTTTCTTGCCTTTTAAAAAATTAGTTCTTTGAATATTAAATAAAAGTCTGTTAATTGCTCAAGATTCTTAGAATAAATGATGTTTAAAGTTCTCCAAGGCTCGGGGACATTGTAGAAAGAGTGTCTAAAGAATAGAAGAGCCAGAGGTGGGAAATGGTGCTCCCTTCAGTCCACGACATCTTCAGTCCACAACATCTTCGGTCCAGGACATCTTCCCTGCAGGACATCATCTTCCTTGCAGTACATCTTCCCTGCAGGGCATCATCTTCGATGCAGGACATGGCGTTGAAACTGGATCTCACACTAGCTGCAATTGAGGGCACTAGCCTACATTAAACTGGGTGTGTCAACAGGCATAAGTGGATTAGGTTGAGGCTCATGGGACCCCATCCCTCCCTGCTGAATTGTTAGCTGCTGTTGGATACTGAGGGAGAGACAATTATTATCTTCACTTGTGTACTAAAAGTGAGCCCCTCGGTTCCAATGGATACTTCCATTCATGGCCACACATATGGTCCTACTTTAAATCAATGGATCACAAAATAAAACAAAGACATGAACATGGGAAAGGAACCTGTAGAAAATGGATGGTGCCAGGGGTGAGAGGGAGGTAAGAAGAGGTGAGAGTGGACAGAATGCAGTGTGTGTGAGTGTGCATGTGCACGTGTACTCGCAGCATGTATGTGTGTCCCTATGTGTGTGAGCATATATGTGCACGTATGTGTGTGTGAAACTGTCAAAAAATTCAATCAACAAGACAAAAGTAATGCTTTGATTATTAAAGCTATTTAATTATATACTACTAGTACTTCAAAAGGGAATTCATGTATCACTTTGAACAATCTTTCTCTATTTAAGGTCACCTCTTCTGTCAGTTATCTCTTTCCCGGGTGCCACTTCTCCCTTGCTTAGTAACATATGAATAATCACACTGCTCCACTCCTGCAGCTCTCCTAACTGTCCTTTTCTGTTTCTTGGATTCCTCTCACTGATCTTCTATCACTCCTTCCTCCACAGCCGGTTTGAAGCAGTCCTTCTCATTGCTGCTCATAAACATCTAGTGAGCTCAGTCTCGATACTGCTAGGATGCTCTCATCCACCTGCTAAGGACCAATAGCCAGAGTGGTATCTCCAACTTTGCTGCTTTGTTATTAGCCACTTGAAGAAATGAAGCTAAGGAGGGGTAGGTTGGTTCTGACAGGATTGGAGGCAGGATCAGCAGGATTGAAGTGACTGGTTCCATGAGGAATTTAAGGGGAGGAGATGTAAAAGAGGATGTTCAGTTGTCAACTGAATGTGGGGCACACAAACAGATTTAGGCAGGAAGTTTCTGGAAGGTTTGGGTTAGTTTAAAAAAACTTCTACGGTGGAGCTGTGCCTGTTCAGTCATGTCTTTGATCCGAGCACTGGGAGATGGAGGCAAGCAGACAGCCCTAAGTATGAGAGCAGTGCAGGCCAGAGTGAGCTCCAAGCCAGTCTGAGCTACAGTGTAGACCCTGTTGGATAAAACCAAACATACATGTTTTTAAAAATTATTTCTTTTATTTTTTTTGAGATTATAATATAATTACATCATATCCTTCCTTCTGTTTCCTCCATCTAAACCCTCCCATATATCCCTCTTTGCTCTCTTTCAAATTCATGACCTCTTCTTTCACTAATTGTTGTTATATACATAAATGTGTGTGTGTGTGTGTGTGTGTGTGTGTGTGTGTGTGTGTGTGTGTGTGTGTAATTTCTGAATACAACCTGCTTAGTCTCTATGATGTTACTTGTATGTATGTTTACATGACTGACATTTGCTGTTGTAACCAACTGGTGAGTGTTGTTGTTTTTGCTCTTTTGGGGGGGCCCACCACCCAGCTCCCAAATAATTCACACACAGAGCCTTATTCTTACTTATGAATGCCTGTCCTTAGCTTGGCTTAGTTTTTTGCCAGCTTTTCTTAACTATAAATTATCCTGTCTATCTTTTGCCTCTGGGCTTTTCCCATTCTCTTACTTCTGTAAATCTTATTCTTACTCCATGGCTTGTTGTGTAGCTGGGTGACTGGCCCCTGGTGTCCTCCTCCTTCTTTGGCTGCTAGATCCTAGATCCTGTTTTCTTTTTCTATATATCCTCTCTGCCTGCAAGCCTGGCCTATCCTTTCTCCTGCCTTGCTATTGGCCATTCAGCTCTTTATTAGACCATCAGGTGTTTTAGACAGGCACAGTAACACAGCTTCACAGAGTTAAACAAATGCAACATAAACAAAAGTAACACACCTCAAAATAATATTCTACTACATTTTCCCTCTGGGCTTTTCCCATTCTCTTACTTCTGTAAATCTTACGCTTACTCCGTGGCTTGCTGTGTAACTTAGTGGCTGGCCCCTGGTGTCTTCCTCCTTCTCTGGTACTTCCTTCTCCTCTCTCAGATCTCTCCTTCTGTATATTCTCTCTGCCTGACAGCCCCGCCTGTCCTTTCGTCTGTCTCGCTATTGGCTATTCAGTTCTTAATTAGACCAACAGATGAGCTCTTCCCCAGGGAAGGTCATTTCTCCTGCTCTCAGTATTCCTCCATTGCCTGTAGTTCTTTGTGTAGGGTTGAGGCCTTGTGGGCTTTCCCCATCTTCAGCTTATTTATTGCTGTTGTCCTTGTTCAGCGCTTGTTGAGGCAGTCACATTGGTGTAACTTTATGGAGACCATTACAGAAAACCACAGCCAATCAAAATTCATAGTTGTGGAGCCCAGTTCCTATACAACTCCCTATAGCTTAGGGGATCACTGTGGGAGAAAAGGCTGAAAGAATATGAGAGCCATTGTGTCTCCAAATATGTACCTTTTTAAAGTTGGAAATTGTGAATAAATTCTCTTCATTTGCAATATCCATGATGTTGTTAGGAAATTCGCTTCTAAGAATAGATACACACACACATTTTAATGGTCTGATTGACTCTTAGCAATTTATGATTTGATCATTATTTTTATATTATCTAGATTTTTTTCTTTAACCAGCCTGCCACAGGCTGGTTAATGCTAATGCAATGAATATAGTAAAATGAAGTTATTACAGAGGTTTTAGAATACGTTTCCCAGGGTTTAAAATCCTAGATTAAAAGCCCCTATATTTATGTGTTTAGATTTCTCTTGATTCTTGAAATAAAATGTGTATAGAACATGCTGTTTAAAAGCATGTGTTCTTTTAAATGACGTCAATAGAATATACCATTTTTTCAGTTTACTATTTAAAATCTCATAAAACAAATAATATATAGATATGTAATATAAATACTTTATGATAATATAGAAGAATGTAGCCTAAATATTGTAGCATTAAATTACTGTATTAAAACCCACCATAATATTCTATTATATAATTCTAATATGCTTACGTAGATCTTAATATCACAGGTATACATGGATTGTTTCCCTTAATATGCACTTATTTTAATAAGTTGTTTATAAAGACTACATTTTCATTTAAGCTTAGCAGTAATCTACTAATAGTTTTAATACTAATCTATTCTCTAATTTAAATATTCAGTAGAGTTCTTTTGTTTTATTTCTTTGAATGTTCTCTAACCATCTTATTCTTATGCTATGTATGCAAGCATATAATTTAATTTAACTGATTACTGTGATAATCACTAGATACAATATGCAATATATATTTGTTTTCTTTATAGGAAAATGGTTCTCCTGAAGAACATGCAATCTATGTTTGGGATCATTTCATAGCCCAATCTGCTGCTGAGAATGTGTTTTTTGTTGCTCACAGCTATGGAGGACTTGCTTTTGTTGAACTGGTAAGTGAACATTTAACTTTTTTTAATGATTTAGTTATCTTAATGTATGTGTGTAAGTCCCGGTATATATGTATACTGTATGCATACCAGTACCTACATGTCCAGAAAAGGGCAAAGGATTCCCCTGGAACTGGAGTTACTGGCAGTTGTGAGCCATCGGATATGAGTATTCTCTGCAATGACAGGGGAACTGACAAGGGTCCTCTGTAGGAGCAGGAAATGCTCTTAACAGCTGAACCATCCTCACTCCTTAACTCTAATTCTGCTATCAGCCTTCTTACAGGTTTGGTTTAGTTTGGTTTGGTTTGAGACAGGATTTCACTATGCAGCCCTGGATGGCCTGGAACTTGTTATGCAGACCAGGCTGGCCTGGAACTTGCATAGATGCCTGCTTCTGCCTTTCAAATGCTAGGATTAAAGGCATGAGCCACTGCACCCAGCATGCTCTCTATTTTTTTTAATATTATTACCTCAAGTTATTTAGAAAGTTATAGGAGCCAGAGGTGATGTATAGGTAGGTGTATGACTCCAAGGAAACAGCGTCTTCCAAACATAGCAGGATAGACGAGCATGTGAGCACAAGAGACTGTGGCAGCATGCACACACACAGACTGTGGCAGCATGCACACACACAGACTGTGGCAGCATGCACATACAGAGACAGTGGCAGCATGCACACACACACAGACAGTGGCAGCATGCACACACACAGACTGTGGCAGCATGCACACACACAGACAGTGGCAGCATGCACACACACAGACTGTTGCAGCATGCACACACACAGACAGTGGCAGCATGCACACACACAGACAGTGACAGCATGCACACACACAGACAGTGGCAGCATGCACACACACAGACAGTGACAGCATGCACACACACAGACAGTGGCAGCATGCACACACAGAGACTGTTTCAGTATGCACACATACAGACTGTGGCAGCATGCACATACAGAGACAGTGAGTGGCAGCATACACACATACAGACAGTGGCAGCATGCACACACACAGACTGTTGCAGCATGCACACACACAGACTGTTGCAGCATGCACACACACAGACTGTTGCAGCATGCACACACAGACTGTGACAGCATGCACACACACATAGACTGTTGCAGCATGCACACACAGACTATGGCAGCATGCACATAAAGAGACAGTGACAGCATGCACACACACACAGACTGTTTCAGCATGCACACACACAGACAGTGGCAGCATGCACACACACACAGACTGTGGCAGCATGCACACACACAGACTGTGGCAGCATGCACACATGCAGACTGTTTCAGCATGCATACACGCAGACAGTGGTTGCATGCACAGGATCTGCACAGGTTCAAACCAGACGAAGTTCCAACACTGAAAAACGGAGGTTGACACAAAATCCCACCCTTAACCAAGAATCTATTTGCAACTGATTACTGCTGGGAAAGGGAAAATTAGCTTTCTCCAATAGAGTAACACTGGGTATATCAACCACTCCAGGGCAGGCCTCATGACCAGTAGTAGTTAGACAACACAAAATGGACTCTGTGTGTGTGTGTGTGTGTGTGTGTGTGTGTGTGTGTGTAAGGACTTCTTCTCTCATTCTGTTTTGGTATTTTATGTCTTGATGCTTTTTTTGGGGGGGGGGTTAATTATTAAATTTTTAAAATTTATTTTACATACCAACCACAGTTTCCCCTCCCTCTTCTCTTCCTATTCCCTCCTCCCAGCTCCCATCCACTCCTCAGAAAGGGTAAGACCTCCCATGGGAATCAAAAAAACATGGCATTGCAAGTTGAGGCAGGACTAAACTTCTTCCCCCTGCATCAAGAGTGAGCGAGGCTTCCCACCATAGAGAATTGGTTCCAAAAAGTCAGCTCATGTGTCAGGGACAGATCTTGGTTGCACTGCTAGGGGCCCTACAAACAGACCAAGCTACACAAGTGTCACATACATGCCAGGGGCCTAGGTCAGTCCCATGCAGACTCCCTGCTGTAAGTCTAGAGTCCTTGAGCTCCCCTGAGCTCAGGTCGTCTGTCTCTGTGGGTTTCGCCTTCATGATCTTGACTCCCCTTGCTTATAAAATCCCTCCTCCCTCTCTTCAGCTGGACTCCTGGAGGTCGGGCCAAAGGCACAGAAAATATATTCAACAAAATCATAGATTTTCTTTTTTGTTTTGTTTTTGTTTTTATTTTTGAGAGAGAAAAAGACATGAAGTTGGATGTATAGGAATGTGGGCAGAATCTGGGAAGGGTTATAGTGGTGAAAGACTGTGATCGATCTATCTATCTATCTATCTATATATATATATATATATATATATATATATATATATATATATATATATATATATATATATATAGTGTGTGTGTGTGTGTGTATAGGCTGATCTCCTAAATATATAAACAACTCAAGAAACTAGACATCAAAACACCAAACAATCCAATTTAAAAATGGGCTGCAGAGCTAAACAAAGAATTCTCAACAGAAGAATCTCAAATGGCTGGAAGACATTTAAGGAATTGTTCAACATTCTTAGTCATCAGGGAAACGCAAATCAAAATGACACTGACTTACCATCTTACACCTGTCAGAATGGCTAAGATCAAAACACTGATGACAGCTTATGCTGGAGAGGATGTGGAGCAAGGGGAACACTCCTCCACTGTTGGTGGTAGTGAGAACTTTTATAGCTACTCTGGAAATCAGTATGGCAGTTTCTTAGAAAATTGGGAATCAATCTACCTCAAGACCCAATGATACCACTCTTGGGCATATACCCAAGGAATGCTCAATCATACCACAAGGACACATGCTCAACTATGTTCATAGCAGCATTATTCATAATAACCAGAATGTGGAAACAACCTACATGCCCCTCAACTGAAAAATGGATAAAGAAAATGTGGTACATATACACAATGGAGTATTACTCAGCAGAGAAAAACAATGACATAATGAAATTTGCAGACAAATGGATGGAACCAGAAAATACCATTCTGAGTGAGGTAACCCAGACTCAGAAGGACAAACATGGTATGTACTCACTCATAAGTGGATATTAGATGTAAAGCAAAGGATAACCAGACTACAACCCACAGCTCCAGGGAAGCTAGCTAACAAGGACAACACTAAGAATGACACATGGATTGCCCTGGGAAGGGGAAATAGATAAGATCTCCTGAGTAAACTTGGGGCAAGGGGGAGCAATAGAGGGTAGGGGGTGGGGGATGAGAACATAAGGGAATGGGATGGTTGGTCGAGCTGCAACAGGGATGGAGTGGGAGAGTAATGAGAGAGATACCATGATAGAGGGAGACATCATGGGGACAGGGAGAAACCTGGTACTAGGGAAGTTCCCATGAATCCACAGGGATGATCCCAGCTTAGACTACTACCAATAGTGGAGAGGGTGCCTACCCCAGCAATAAAATTGGTAAATACCTTGTCATCATAAAGCCTTCGTCCAGCACTGGTGCCAGCAGATTCAGAGATTCACAGCCAAGCACCAGGCCAAGGTCCAGGAGTTCAGTCAAAGAGAGAGAAAAGGGATTCTGTGAGCTAGGGGCATCAAGGTCATGATGGGGAAACCTATAGAGACAACTGAACCAAGCTAGTGGAAATTCATGAACTTTAGACCAGCAGCTGTGGAGCCTGCATGGGACTAGACCAGGCCCTCTGCATAAGCGAGACAGTTGTATAGCTTGGTCCATTTAAGGGGCCCCTGGTAGTGGGATCAGGATCTTGCCCTGTTGCATGAGCCCATTACCTGTGGTAGGACACCATGCACAGCCTTGATGTGGGGGGAAGGGCTTGGACCTGCTTCAACTGATTATACTAGGCTTTGCTGACTACCAATGGGAGGCCTTACCTTTTTGGAGGAGGGAATGGGGTGGGTTGGTGGGGAGGAAGATGAGGGGGGAGCAGGAGGACGAATGAGGGGATCTGTGGTTGATATGTAAAATGAATAAAAAATTTCTTAAGAAAAAAAACTCATGTTACTTAGGGATCTGTGGTTGGTATGTAAAATGAATATAAAAATTCTTAATATAGAAAAAATTTAAATTTAAAAATTAAAATGTATTTTAAATGCATCCAGATATACTTGTATGATTTTGAAAAGAATATACTAATTTTTTAGTATAACAGAGCTTTATATTGTGATTTTCGCCTGTACCTTCTTTATATACTGTTTTTAAATTTTGATATTATCACGCCCACTTCTCGACATTTCAGATGTACATTTTATTTATACACCATTATTATGTATGCTATCCATATAGAACCCAAAACTGCAAACCTTTTCAATATTTGTTATCATTTTAATAATTTTTTAAAAGTATTTATTTTATTGGTGGTTTGCTTACATGTATGTCTATGTAACTGGAGTTACAGACAGTTGTGAGCTATCGTGTAGGTGCTGGAAATTGAACCCCCATCCTCTGTAACAGCAGCCAGTGCTCTTAACCGCTGAGCCATCTCACCAGCCCCCATTTGAAAAATTTTAACTGGACTTTAATGTGTACTGTTTAGTATTTAATACTTCATCAGAGTTTATGTGTTTAGTATTAAAACTATCAGAAAGGTTCCATTAATTTACTTGGAACTAGCATTTTGTGCTTGGTCACAAAAATTTTTGCATTTGTAAGTATTCTGAAGAGTAATGTATACATGATAGGAACTATTGTCGGGTATCTTGGATTTAATCTGATTTGATGAGATGTTCTAGAATAGCTCAGTTACACCATTGTGGCTATTGCGAGTGAATGGTTGATGCTAGGAAGTCTCCAGTGAAGGGCTGTGTCAGACTCCATGCTAGCCATTGCCTACTTTTAACCTTTAGACTTTGGTATGTACTTCCGTAAATACATTTCTGTGGCCTTTGTCTGTTGGCCCTGATACCTGTGGACACTGCAGTGGCCCTCCTATGTCTGGAATCATACATTGTACTAAAATCAAGACGTGCTGTCATTTCTTTCTTAATTTGACTTCAGTATTTAG